ACAGCTGCACAACAACAATACTGCATTTTATCTCGCACCTGCGTGTATCATCTGACACAATTTAATGAATCATTCACCAGATGAAAGCCGCTCTTATCAGCTGTAAAATGTGTTTATGAATTTACAGGTTTCGGGCGTGTGTTGTTGCTTTGTGTGCGGTCCCGTTTAAACTGTGTATCAATGTGGAGCCTTGAATGAAGCTTCAAAGCTTCTCTCTGTGGCTCCAAACTTGGAAACGAGAGGGTATGGAGATGATATGGGGTGCCGTTTGTAAAGTTACACAGTCCAAAATTAACAGCAATATATTGGTTTATTTAGTCTTTCATAAGAATAAAAGGTTGTTGTTTTGTTCAAAGTCAGTTTTTCACCATGTTATTCTTACATTTATAAAGGTCACAGTTCCAAACAAAATATTTAATTTACAAGCTAACTATTTAGTTTACAAACTAAATACTTAACTTGCAAGTTATATTTAGTTGACAAAATAAATGTTTATGTCCAAGCTAAATGTTTAGTTTACAAACTTACATTCGAGCTAAATATTTTGTTAGCAAGTTAAATATTTATTTTGGAAATTAACTGTTTAGCTTGGAAAATAAATATTTAGCTTTGAGATTAAATATTTAGTTTACACCTAAATATTTTGTTAGCAAGTTAAATATTTATTTTGGAAATTAACTGTTTAGATTTCAAAATAAATATTTAGCTTTGAGATTAAATATTTAGTTTACACCTAAATATTTTTTTACAAGTTAAATATTTAGTTTATGAAATAAACATTTAGCTTGGACGTAAATATTTAGTTTGTAAACTAAATATTTAGCGTGGAGCTAAATATTTAGCTAAATATTTAGCTTGCTAACTAAATATTTAACTTGCAAACTAAATATGTAACTTGCAAGTTACATATTTAGTTTGTAAACTAAATATTTATCTTGTAAATTAAATATTTAGGTTGGAACTATGACATTTATAAATGTATGAATAAACATGGCGAAAATATGACTTTGAAAAAAAAAAATTCTTATGAAAGGCTAAATAAACAAAAAAAAAAATGCTGTTAATTTTTGACTGTAATTTTACAAATGGCACCCCATAAGATACAGCCAGCCAGCGTTATCAGAGACACAAAGACTGATAAAGGGAGGTCGAAGAGGAAGTGCAGATGGAGCGAATGAGGGAGATTGTGAGATGTGAAAGGGAGGGCGAACGGGTGTGTGAAAGAGCAACTCTGTAGAGGCTTGTGCAGATGGGGCAGGATGGTTGGTCTGAGTAGATTACAGGGGAGACTTCCTCCCTCTCATTTACTGATGAGAGTGTCATAAAGCACCCTGACACTTCGGAGCACAACACATCATTCCCACATTCCTGTTTGCTCCCGCTGGGATGTCTCTGTGTGCCTTGGAGATGTGAAAAGGTTGGTTGGGGAAAGCAAAAAAAAAAAAAAGGATGGGATCAGGAAAGACGGTGGGATTGCGAGTGAATAGGAAGTGATGATGAAAGAGAAACTGTTGAAAAGACCTTCAGCAGAAACAAACGCAGGATTTTCCTCTGAAATTAAACACACAAATAAAATTTGCTCCGAACCGCCGCGCTTCGCCGTCTCTTTCTGCTCCACCAGTGGATGTCAAGCAGTATAATTATGCACTCATTTATTGCATTGTTGATCTGTCAATGCATGAACTCCTCAGTCTACAGAGAGAGGATCCCCACATCACCCCCCCCCCACCCCCACCACCACCACATCTCCCTGTCACCCTCTCTCTTTCTCCGTTTCTCATCTTTCGTATATTTAAATGTCAGTTATGTTTGTGTGGGCTGTCGGCACTCGGGAGTTTTGATGTATTCGGTTCCAGTGTTTCTGTTCTCTGTGTGTGAGTGGGAGCTGATCAGTAAATGTTCTTTTAGGTGTTTTTTTTCTTGGCTCATCAAAATTCAAGATAAAAGAAGTCAGTGTGCCCCTCCCCCCACGCTATAGCTTTGTCTAGCTCAGGATCTTTCTTTACAGTAGTTTGTCCTTGAGTCCTAATGCTGCATATGCTGATTAACATATTGTTCAGACTCCATAAGCAATCAATACGGGAGACAGCGAAGATGGTATCAAGAGTCAGTGACCTTATTTCAGACTATCTGCACTGCACAAACTGCCTTCAGCGTGGAGCGACTCCAAAAGTTCTCAGTGGAGAGTTCCAGATGGAGTTCACTTAATAATCTTGGGGTGGTACAAAACCAGTTTTAACAAGAGAATTTCAGGAGTTTCATTGTATTGTTGTTATATGCACTACTTGACAAACACTGCAATATTGGAGGACAGAATCACATACAAATATGGGCTTCTTTTGTTTTATTTTCTATTATTTTTACAGTTATGTTGAGGTTCTCCTTAGGAGTGACAAAGATGGATAAGATTAGGAATGAGATCATCAGGTTGAACAATTGGGAGATAAAGTTAGAGAGGCCAGACTGAGATGGTTTGGACATGTCCAGAGGAGGGACAGTGGGTATATTGGTAGAAGGATGTTAGGAATGCAGCTGCCAGGAAAAAGACAAAGAGGAAATATATGGATGCTGTTAGAGAGGACATGGAGGTTGTTGAAGTGAGAACAAAAGTTGCAGAGTGAGATGGAGGAGGATGACTTGCTGTAACCCTGAAGAGGGAAAAGCCAAAAGAAGAAGAAGATTATTTTTACAGTTGAGATGACCAGCACAGTTCATCTTCACAGAACTGGTCGTCTCTTCTCTTTACATCATATTCATGATCTAAGCAAACATTCCTTGAAAGACTGTAAACTGACTGCCCCTTGCTTACCAAGGATTTAGGAAAGTATGTGTTGGGGATAATTCACAGCTACACCAAATTTTAGCTCATTGTCTGTAACATGACAAAGTTATAGACATGTTTGTGTTGCTATGGCCAATTAGCTGTGTCAGCAATCTTGAAATGTTTTATTGCAAATGTTAAATGGTAAATGGACTGTATACAGTATAGCACCTTTCTGTCTAGTCAAGACACTGTTGCTTTACAACACAACCAGTGCCCTCATTTCCCCATTCATACAGCACTCTACTAAATCTCTGCAAAGCTAATCTGAATCTGTAGTGACTAATCAGAGCTTTATCACATTCATACACCAGAGAGATACACATCAGAGGCAATGAGGGGTTCAGTGTTTTGCCCAGGGACACTTCATCGTGTGAATGCTGATGGAATCAAACCCCCAGCTCTCCCATAGGAGGACGACTGCTCTAACCACTCAACCACAGTTACCCCTAAAACACCTGGACATAACTACATCCAATGATTACTTTCTAAGAGTTTCATTAAAATGCTTCCAGTAGTACGAGATATTGTGTTAACAGATAAAATATGCAAATAATACCTGGTCAGGGAAGTCCAGAAAATTTAAAGGTGGGGGCAGATAGCAAACCTTGGACCACTCTGACATTACTCAGTGTAAGTTTATTCATCAGTTTAAAGGCTTTCATTTCTGCTGTCCACTGGTTTTATTTGCTGACAGGACTGTTTCTCTAGTCACAATTTGTTTTCCACAGTTTTAGTTTGACTTGTGTTTCATTAAGGCTGAATACCATTTCTTAGCTTTTGCCAAACCAATATGGTTGAACTACCTCTGGTCTTTGATTTGAAATCAGAAAGTGTAACGATGTAAGTATTATGTTGTTAAAAAGGAAACATCTTCAAGAAGTCAACGTGTCATCAGTTTAGGTCAATACCTTTTACAGATGCAGCCTCAGGAGTCCATACTTGGTGTGTAAAACTAGTTCTCAAACCTGCAACAATCTTTAATTTTTCATGCTTGTTTTAACAAAACTATGAATACCAAATTTACACATTCGAACCGACTAAACTAAGCCTTTGTTGATACAAAATAATATTTTAATGGAAAAATATTATGTCATTTTTGTCATTTTTAAGCTTGAAAAGGATACTTTAGAAATGTAATACACCAGTATATCAGTGTAGACACTACAGTGGTTATTATGTCAAAAAACATTTTCATTGGAAAAACATACTGAGAGTTTTGTTTGTTAAGAGCTTGATATATGTACAGCAAACAAAATACGACTAATTTTAGTGTCATTAAAACTTTTTTAAGTAAAGATCCTAAATTTGTGTGTGTGTGTGTGGGGGGGGGGGGTTGGGGGATGGAGAGGGGGGTCCAAGTGTAGCTCATACATCCTGCATTTTAAAATGTGACAAACTTTCTAAAATTTTAAATTAAATTAATTCAGTTCTTCTGAATGGGCGGCACGGTGGCTCAATTAGTAGAACTGTTGCCTCTCAGCGAGGTTGCCGGTTCAAATCCCGGTCCAGAGGCCTTTCTGTGTGGAGTTTTCATGTTTTGTCCGTGCATGCGCGAGTTTTCTCCAGGTGCTCCGGTTTCCTCCCAAAGACCAAAAACATGCATGTTAGGCTGATTGATAACTCTAAATTGTCCCTAGGTTTGAGTGAGAGAGTGAATGGTTGTTTGTCTCGTTTGTCTCTGTGTCTCTTTGATGGACTTTGATGGACCTGTGTGTACCCTGCCTCTTGCACAGTGACTGCTAAATATGAGCACCAGTGACCCTCGCAACCTGAAAAGGAAGAAGAGTGTAAAAATACAGGCTGGACGGATGAATTCTTCTGAATAGAAACTATTACAAAAGACTTGCATTGTGTAATTTGTGTGACCAAGTATTTATAAATCAATAAAGCAAATACAATAATTCACTTCTGGAAAGACATATTCTTCACGCTTGTTCCTGCACACCAAACAAGCAAGACAGAAAATGTGAGCTACATATTACTCCACAACATTATCACTGTTTATAAAAATACAGTATATCCCTGCTGCCTCTTTAAATTACTATTTATGTGGGAAATATATGGAAAAATACACAATTATAAATGTCTTTTTTGGTTTATTTTTTCTAAACTTTGGATTACTGTTTTTTAATTTATTTGAGAGTCATGCATGTTCTTCATTTCCATGTCTCTGCAGCCTGCTCTGCTGGTTTCTATAAGGCCAAGTCTTCAGATGATGAGTGCTCCAAGTGCCCTCCTCACAGCCACTCACTCAGGGACGGGGCCAACGTGTGCGAGTGCCACATGGGATTCTTCCGTGCCGACGCTGACCCTCCCTCCATGGCCTGCACCCGTAAGAGCAAAGACCCAGACACACAAACAATTAACGCAGAAGGAAAAACACTGACAATGAGTGTGCGCAATTTTCACCAATAAAAGGAAAGAGCGCGATCATTGTTTTGCAAACTCTCTATCTCGTCCGAACAGGAGGCGACACAAACGTGTCTGAATGCCACCCCTGTTTCATGATCCCATTACTTATGACTAAGCTCCCATCTACATCCTGTCTGGCAGTGATAACTGAAGACATTGAGGGAAGAATACATGTCTGTGCCGTAGATTTGGAGATGATGGTTTGTGTGTGTTAAACTCAATTATGCCGATGTACAGCACATGGTTTCCTCTCGCCTGAGAAAAAAGTGAAACACACACTTACACACAATCTTTCTCACACGAGAAAATTTAATACCACAGAAAAAAACAACCAAACCATCAAACGCATGTCATAACCACATGGTTTCCAGTTTTGTGCCAGATGTTAACATGCCAAAGGAAGAACACCCTGACCCCCCCCCCCCCCACACACACACACACACACACATATATCTCTCCATGTTGTTGTTCCTTCACTTTCTTTATGCTATGCGCACACACACACAT